TCCCTGAGCCTTCAAATTCCCTTCTTTTCTCCTCCTTACACAAAAAAGAAGGCTAATATTTACCTTGGGACTTAGAACAACAGCTCCCACAACAAAAAAAAACACCAAACCCTGTCTTTTGAGTGCTGAAAAACCTCAGCAATGTGCACATCAAAAAAAGTATTGCTGGAAGGGTTTGTGCTTTGGGGGCCACATCTTTTGGGCACCTGCTATTTTTGGAGGTTCAGCTTTGCAGGTCACTGGCTCCGTCTGCTAGTGAGGGTCTGTGCCTCTCCCAGCACACAGGCCTGGATTCAGCAGAGTATTCAGAGCTGGATCTGGGTTAGAAATCTGAGGGTTTGCTGAATCTGGGCCACGACTGGTGTTGAGGAGGTGGGAGCTGCCCATGCCTGGGATGCTGCTCCTCTGGAACAGCACTTTCACAGATCAAGCAATTTTCTTTGATTTAGGAAAAAAAAAAACCACCTTGTTTGCCTGTTAGATGACAAGAAACCTCGTTGCTTTTCCCCCTGACTGAAGCTGAACAGCTTCTTTAGCCTTCATTTATGGAAGCTGGCTCTGTGCTCCGATTCAGTGCATCAGTCTGAGTGACTTCCAGTCCCCAGAGGCTCAAGGTTATCCTTATTCCAGTTTTTTAATCAGATGGGGAATGACCTCACCTTGCAACCAGCAACAACAGGACTGGAGAATCCCAGGGTTTGGAATTCTCTCCACCCCCTTCCAAATATTGGTGTTTCTGGAAGCAAAACACGCACTGTTTCTAGGAGCATCAGGAGTGGGTTGTGTTTGGAGAGGTGGGAATGGATAACAGTGTTTTGGTGTAGCTTTTCAGACATCTTTTTAGTATTGTTACTGTGGGTGGGCTTTTTCTCTTATGTAACAAGTGATAGGACAAGGGGAAACGCCCTCAAGTTGCACCAGGAGAGGTTCAGGTTGGATATCAGGAAAAATTTCTTCAGTGGAAGAGTGGTGAAGCACTGGAACAGGCTGCCCAGGGAGGTGGTGGGGTCACCATCCCTGGAAATGTTCAAAAACTGAGCAGATGTGGCACTTCGTGATATGGTTTGTGGGTGTGGTGGTATCAGTCAAAGGTTGGACTGTGGCTTCTTTTGGCTTTTCGACATTTTTTTTTTCTTTTCTTGTGTAGATGAGTGGAATTTGAGTTTATATTAAACCTTTGTGCTCAGGTTTATCTGGGTCAAGCATTTTTAGACTTGACCTGCAAAATACATCAGTGTAGGTGTTCCTGCCTGCATTTGCCATATGCCCTTTTCCTTAAACACCCAGACAGCTGGTGGCACTCTGTGCTCTGGTCTGGGTGACAAGGTGGGGATGAGTCAAAGGTTTGATTTGATGATCTTGGAGGTCTTTTCCAACCTCTTGTTTTGTGCTCTCAGCAGCTGAACAGCCCCACGTTCTACGTAACCCAAAGCTCTGCTCTCCCTTCTGAGCCTGAAGATTATTTTTATGCTTCTGTCCTCCTGTTTAAAAAGCTTGGTAGTTCTTTGGGAGGTTTTTGGCCCCAGGAATTAATGCCAGTGTTGAGGAAGGCAGTGAATTCCCCTCAGGTGTTTGCTCTTGCCCTGGGGTCACAGCTGTGGCAGCCGCAGGGTCGGCACCACCTTAAATCTTCCGACTCCCCCATTAGTGCTGAGTGTTCTGTGCTCACCCTGAGCTCTCCCTTTGCTGAGGTGATTAAAAGATGCCTGTTGCTGTCTGGATGTGCAGCATGCTTCATTAGCAGTGATTTATTTGGGAGCTGAGTGGAAGTGGCACTCTGCAGCACACCAACCTGCAGCAGGAGAAGGGGACGGGATTCCCGAGGCTTCTTTCTTGCTGCTGCAATGCTTGGGGGTCTTCAGTGTGTTTTGCAAATTCTCCTTCAGAATATTCATTTAACTGTGGGTTCATAGAATGCAAATTTATCTACAAAGCATTTTTCACATTCTGAATGCATCCATATACCTTAGGATTTTAATTTCTAGTTTGGGTTTGGGGTTTTTTTCAGAATTACTGATCATTAAACACCCCGGTGAAATTACTGACAGAGCCATGCCCACTAACTCAGAAAAATTCACCACAAATATTTCTGCTACACGCATTTTTCTCCCTCCCACCCAACTGCAGTCAGAGCTCTGAGTGTCAAGTTTTTTCACCAGAATCCAATTAGGAACAAAGGTGCCTTTCAAAAGAACCTGCAATGGCTGCACTGCCAAAAGGGAAGCTAAAAAGGCATCTGCACATGTGTGTTGGCACTGGGTTTTCTAATGGGCTGCACTTCCAAACTGAAACACAGCAATCTCATTTTCATCTCGAAAAAATAGCTTGTGTAGTGCTGAAACTGTCTGTGCTTCCTTCTGGAAATAAAATGCTAAAGTTTGCAAGTTTTCAGGCCTCATATTCTCCTTCAGAAGCAGCACAAACTCCCCTGGGATTTTATAGGCAGAAAACATTCAGGGACGGGAAGGATCTTTTCAATTATCCATCTTTTGCTCATGCACAAATGTTGCCTTTCCTAAAGTCATTGCCATAAAAAGTCAATGTGTTTGAACAGTTTTTACAGCTCTGAACAAAGGCCCTGCTGACATGAATAGCAGTGATGTTTACAGGAAAACTTCCTGAGAATTGGACTCATTCACATGTGAAATAGGAGCTATCCTGAGAAATGGAAATGCAGCCAGAGCTTGAAAACCACCTGATTTTAACCTTAGGAAAATATTTTTAATGGTGATCATCTAATTTGCTTTTCACTGCTTTTTATGCTAACACAGGCTTCATTTCTCTCTGGGAAAACTTTCTCTAACATATTGGCCTGTGTCAGACCCCAGGTAGCTGGAATTTTTTCTTTGAAGCACGTGCATGATGGCTGCTGGTTCTCTGTTGAATAACTAAATAAATGAGCATTTTCACTGGACTTCAACATCCTGAGTACTGAAAATGGGTATGGTATATATTTCTTGCCCAGAGAAGCTGTGGCTGCCCCTGGATCCCTGGAAGTGTCCAAGGCCAGGTTGGACGGGGCTTGGAGCACCCTGGGCTGGTGGAAGGTGTCCCTGCCCATGGCAGGGGTGGCACTGGGTGGGCTTAAAGTTCTCTTCCAACCCAAACCAGTCTGTGATTCGAAGATTTTTATGCTTCATCCCCAAGCCTCTGGAAGCACCATCCTCAAAGCCCATAGAATAAATAGAGGGATTTTGCTTGACTTTGGTCAGATCTCGAGGTTTATATGTGCGGGTTTTTTAACCAAAAGTCAAATATAACACTTTCTTGCCCCTGGCTCTGCCTGCAGACAGAGAGCTGTGTTGTGCTGTTGATCCCCAGGGGTGATTTTGGTGAGCCCTGTGGCACACTGGCAGCTCACAGACCGGTCTGAGGGTGCTTTCCATGGGCTCCTGGCAGTGGGTTAAGTTGGTAAGTGCTCTACCTCTCGTGTTTTTAATTAGGTATCAAAGGCTCTGAGTGATTGCTCTGTTTCAGCAGCTCATTGCAGAGAGTGAGGGGAATAATTGTAAGGTATCTCCTTGCAGGGTAATGAAGAGGAGCTTTAGAAGTGACACATGGGTTTATTGATGGGGATAATTCGTGGGAAAATGAGAACAGGGAAGAATTTCAGCAGCTGCTGGTGAATACAGGATTTATCTCAAATTTCATTTCAACTGGTGTAGAACCAGGAGTCTTCCTTTGCTAGAAATCTCTTGTGGAGGTGCTGTTATCAGCAATAGAATTTGGTTGGACTCGGTGATTCTAAAGGTCTTTTCCAACCTAAATAATTCTGGGAATTTGATACTTAGAGGAAAAAACAGGATTTGTCCATTACATGGGGTAAAAAAAATACATTTCATGAGTTCCCAGAGTGTAACTGCTGAACTATGTCAATCAGTAGGAAGGTCTGGGATGACATTTTCCTCCCCAAATTAATAATTAATACTCTAATCATTCCCTTAAGTTATTAGTTTTCATTGATTGGTCCTTCCTGCTGACCCCCAGCACGCCTCATCAGTCTGTGTGAGAACAGATGAATATGTGCAATTAATCTCTACCCCTTGCAAAGCTGCACCTTCAGATCAGATTCTTAGTCTTGTCAGTGCATTGAACCTGACTTTATTAGGAGAATCTCACCAATTTTAACTCACAAAAGCAGGCAGAGCCCTCTCATGATACCCCTTCACATGGTATTAGTCGAGTAGTTTGTCTTGTAAGCACAAAGGCCCCTTAACTTCCAGCCTTCAGTGAGATGAATAAATTATAAGAATGTGTGTCTGACTTGATTTATTTATTTTTAATATTTAAATACCTGCTCTGGAAAAGGTTCCTTTCATAAAAGAAGGCATTTTTTTTTCCCCCTTGGGTTGCTGGGAGGGAGATGGTGGTACTTTGCAGGGAAGGTCTCAAATTGTCTGCTTACAAATTCTATTTATAAGTTGTAATAGAGTGAGAGGAAAAGATCAGTTTTTACCTGGAGATGTTTTTAGGTTGGTTTTTAAAAAGAATTTTAGAGCAGTGAGGATGGGGGTGAGATGGGAAAAACATCCCCCTTCCCTGAGCAGTGTGGGAACATTTCCTCCAAAGTGTTGCCTTGCAGAGACGGTGCCCTTCCTGTGCTGCATGATGTTTGTAGAGAAAAATTAGAGTAATTCTCATAAAGTTAGGGAATTACTCTAATTTTTCTCTTAACTTGATCTACAGAGCTCACTAATTACACCAGATTGCCCCAGAGAGGCAGGGAGTAAATCTGCTGATTGCAAAATTGAGAGGCACGAGAAATCTCAGAACACCCAAGCAGAAGATGCAGACATGGATTCCAATTCTTAACCCTCCCCTGGTACCCAGACAACTTGGATGGTCACAAATCACTCCTCTGATCGATTTTAAATGAAATACTGGAAAATGTTTCTTTGCTGATTTCACTTGCACCTTTCCTGGAAAGGAAAACCAAACTGGGAGCAAATCTTAGGAGCAGCAATCCTAACTCTCCTGGCAATCTCTCTTTTCTCTTGCAGACTGAAGGTGGCCTAAAATCCCCAAGGAGCCCCATTCTCTGCTGGCATCAGTGGGCTCGTCTCCTCTGAGCTGGGTGGCTGAAGATGAGGTTGCTCTGGGAGCTGCTGGTGCTGCAGTCAGTCATGGTGTGCCTTGCAGGTGAGGTCTGGTGTTTAAACTTTGGGTTTAGGATCCCCAGTGCATTTCACACCGGTGGGATGTGCCTGCCAGGGTTAAAATGGCACAATAAGGCCCTGTTTGACAGGCAGTGTCGTGGAATGTGCTGAATGGATCAAGCTGATGCTCCTTCTCCTGGTGATCAGTGTCTCTCATCCCAAGTACATTTCAGAGGACTGCTCTGCCCCTTTCCACTTGAAAGTTGCAGTTGATGGAAGTTGTTTTCCCGTGTTCTCTGTTAAGTATTTCACTGCTCAATTAAACCTTTGTGGAGTGTGGCTTTAAATCCCATTAAAATGGTGTTGTGTTGCAGCTCAGCCCTCGCTCCATTTAACAAATAATTGGAATAACATATTTCAGCAAGAGAACCATCTTCTGGAACTGCCCTTGTTTAACCTTTTCAGCCCTGAGAGTTGCAATGTTCGGAGCGTTCCCGGAGAAGGGAAGTTCCTGAGGAATGTGCTTTTTACCTAGAGCTGGAACAGTTCTTGAGGAACATTTTGGATTTGCAGAGGGTTGTTCCAAAGCCCTGTTGACCTTGACATAGGCAAGGAGTTCATTGTAGGGAACTATCTGGACCATACCAGGCTGTCAAAGCCTGTTTTGAGTCTTTCTCTCCTTGCTGTTCACTTATCCTTGATTATTTCCTCCTTGAAGTGGCATTATTATTCTTTAACATGTATTTTGTTCTGAGAGAAGGTTTAAAAGTTTTAATTACTCTTTGTATCACATGGATTGCTCTAATTTATCTGCTGCTTGCTCAGAATGTTTCACTGCTTTATTTAGTGACTTCTGCTTTCTTCCCCTTTATATGTGCTCACTGTCAGGGTACTTTTTCAGCATTTTAGGTAATAGCAAACTACTTAGAATAGTGTTTACTTTCTTCTGCTGAGCTCCACTGAACATAAAGCCACTTTTATTCCGGTACTTTAGGGGTACCTATTTTAGAAATTTGGTTCCAAGTCTTTCTAAATGTGCTTTGACAGTTTCTGAGCTGGCAGAAAATTGGATGCAGAGAGATTCTGCAGTGCAGAGCCCACACGTGTTTCAGGAATTGCAACCTTAGGGAAGTCTGGCTGTGGGAATGCGTCGACTCTGAGCCTTTATTTCAAGCAAATAAACAAAAATAGTGGGAAAACAAAAGCGTGGAAAAGACTTTTACTATAATTTCTAGACTTATTTATTGCAAAATGGCCAGGGTCAGCAAAATAAAGTTGCAGGGGAATGTGTTGGGGGGGGGGTGTCCTTATCTTTTACATCTGTTATTGATAAAAATGCATCTCATCAGCACTGGCTTTTGCCACATCATTCAGCAACAGTTTTTTTTTCTCCTCTTTGTGGTGCACTGAGTATCTTCAGGCTTCAGATCCTCTGTCCTGCTGAGGGAGATTTAGGGATTTAGGGGGAAAGAAGTGCCAAAAGTTTTGTGTGAGTTTTCTCTTTGGTGATGAGTGAGGAAGTTGTTTCCTTTTGCTTCTCCCTTTGGGCAGAGTGCTGTGTTAGCAGGGGATGCTCTTGCTCTGCTTCCCAAGCTGTATTTTGTGGGGGGTGTTATGAACACACATCTGGCTGCTGAACACTCACAAGTTAAGGAGGAAACTTATATTTCCATGCTGAGGAACCCTTGTGAAAGAATATTAACACTTGAATTATGCAAAGGGAAAAAAGGTCAAAATAGCATGCAGAAAGTTGTCTGGCAAATCTTTATAGTGCTTAGTGGATCCTCAGAAGACTAGGAAGTTAAAGCATTGAGTTCCCTGAGAAAAGAAGGTTCAATCTGAAAACTGAATGCCTTTGGTTCTAATCAGTGTCAGGCACACAGATGCCATCTTTGTCTCTGCTGCAAAGAGCAGCACAGCTGGTGAAGGATGAGTTTTTTGGGGTGTTGCCCTGACAAAGCCCTGTGGAAGTGAGTGGTCCCACCATCCCTGTGAAACAGTGACACCTCTGCCCGTTCAGGGACAACTGGTGGGCTCCAGCTGCCACCAGTCCCATCACTACTTGGGCTCTTCTTTGGTGTGTGTGCTTCCTAAATGAACATCTGTTCACTAGAAATTGCATAAAACTTCCCAGCTCGGATCATTCAAGCCATTAAACAGCTGTCAGAGCCAAAGCACGTGTCATTAAGGGTCCCAGTTATCCACCACTGCCAATGCTCCCGGAGAGGAGGGACGTGCTGGAGCTGCTCCCACTCCACAGGGGATGTTGCTATCGATTTTGTGTACTGGCTGTGCAGATATTACAGCTCTGCACAGCTGGATAAAACACTTGGATAGAAGCTTAGATCAATGCCAGCTAGCAGAGGTGCAAGACTACCAATAATTTTGGGAGCTATCCCACCTCCCTGGAATGGGCAGCAGCACCACTGAAGGTCTTTCTGAGCCACCACCCCCTTTCAGTCCATCACCCAAGCTGGGACCACATTTGTCAGACTGTTTTTCCTTGTTGTTTTGAGGTTGTACTGCTAAAAACTCGCGATGCTTTCTTTGGATTTGATATTTGATACGTATCAATTATAGAGTTCTGATTATGTTTTCAGAAGTTTTCAGGTGTCAGCTCTGGGAAGCAGTAGCTGCAAATTAATGCTTTGGTGCCAAATTGCCCTGGTTAGTTCAGGCTCTCAGCTTCCTTAAATAGCAGCTGTGGTGCTGATAATTTCTAAGTTTTGGAGATAGGATGAGAGGTGGGACAGGCTGTGAAAAGTAACACAAAGCTCTTCTAGTCGTGACCTCGTTAAGAAATGCTCTCCCTTGGGCAGCCCCACATATCCCAAAAAGCATTTGTGTACAGCCTGGGAACAGGGATGGAAACAAAAGCCACTGCACAGGATGAGCCAAAGCAACCACATTGATGAAGATGTGACATAGTCTGTGTGCCTGGAACGTGCTGGACAAGTATGAAAGGAAATTTTCTGTGTTTTCCTGACTTTTATGCCATCCTTTGCCTCATTAACTTCCTGGAGCAGGGAGTCTCAGTGCTGAAGTCATATTTGCATGTTAATGAGCTGCAGTCACACAGACACATTAATGTCTGAGTGTGCATATGCATATTTTAGAGGGGAATTTAACCCATAAGATCCCCTCACGTTATGACAGGGGTGTGGTTTAAGCTGGGCTTAACGAAGCACCACGAGGCCGCTCACTCACCTCACCCCCACCCTAGGGCAATGGGGAGGAGAATCAAAACTAAAACTTCATGAGCAAAAAGTCCAATATATAGTCAGATATCTTCCATTTTGAGGCACAAAAATCACCATAATTTCTATCAATACATTCCACTGAAATCAGGCATTCAAGTCTGTTAAAAATTAAAACTCAAATTCGTAGAAAGAGGAGCATTCACGGGCCTGTTTGAACTCCTGCTTCTATCCAAGCAGCTGTAGGTTACATACAAAAGAAATTCAGCTCATTTCATGTCTGAATATAAATAATTAAAGCCAGAAGAACTGTTGTACATATTAAATGTTGGCCTTCTATAAACGGTGCCGCCGTTCAATTTGTTCAGCGTTTCTTTTCCTGGAGCCGTGTAGTTCCCATGGCTGGGGCTTTGATGTTACTGGGCAGCTGCAAAATGATTAATCTGTTGCAGCCCCATAATTAATTAATTTATATTTCGGTCAGTTCTGCAGCACCCTGCATTTCTGGCCCTAATTAATGTTTGCACAGCACTTGGAGCAGACGGAGCAGGGAACGACTCCTGTTAATGCAGTCGCTCCTCGAACACCACCCAGCCCTTGGTGTGGTGCTGGAGAAGGGTTTGCAGATCAGATCTTGCCTTTAATACTTTGGTTGGGTTTTTTCTGATTATTCCAGAGGGTTTTTTTTTTGTTATTCATTTCAAACTCTTGTATTTTGAAAGGCTTTGGGAGGAGTTGTGGCCCCCAACCCTCTGCTGCTCACCCTGTCTGCACCATCCTGCAGGGAGGTGACACCGGCCATGGGTGAGCAGGTCGTGAGTGTAAAGCATAGCTAAGAAAATGTAATTTGTGCTTATTTAGTGGCAAGTTTCCCTGTGATTGCAGAGGATTTGACTCAGCCTCACAAGAGGTCTGTGCCCATTTTATGTTCCTGCTCTGTCAGCACTGAAGCTCTTCCTACACGTGACCTGACTGATTTAGGCCATAATTTCCCAAATTACAAAGTTAGAGACCATATCAATGCCATTTTCTCATTTCTCTTTTCTGTGCAGATGATTAGGTATATTATGTTTTTCTCATAAGTCCATCTGGGCAAGTTTAATTCCATCTTTCTCAAAAGTTATGGAGGTGAGATGATGCACTTTAAATAAAACAGAGATTATCCAGACACTTTTATAAGCAGATGTTCCATGTATCTGGCTGTGTATTGATCCCCTGTGTGTTTTATATGATGCCTCTTTTCAATTTAGCTCCTTTGCATTTGAATTAATGTGTAGGTATTGAAATTAAATCTCATTTAGGGAGTCACAGAAATACCTGCTTTTCCATACATCTATCAAATTAGGGAGGATATGGACCCAAACCACTTATTTATTGCCAATAAAAAATGGACTTTTATGGCGAAATTCGAGGTGATTATTCTGTTGTATGGCAAAATTTGAGGTGATTAGTCTGTTGCTTAGAGGCAAATTACTTCATGATGTTTAGAAAATCTAAATATTGTTGGAAAGGGACCTAATTTTGTAATATCTGTGTGGTCTTTGAGGAGAACAAGAGGTAAGAGATGTGCAAAGTGAAATCTGCTGGACCAGGCACCAGGGCTTGGAGCTTGTGTTTGCTGCTGGTTGTCTTGGTTATTGGGGAAAGTCTGGCTTAACTAGCCCCAAACCTGCCTCTGTGTAGGGATTTAATCCCCTGATACTTCCCCGTGTAGACACAAAATTTCTGTCCCTTTTCTCCCCATTTTTGGGGGTTTTTATCATTTAGAACAGCACAGGAATGGGGGAACAACTTTCTGCTCAGACTTTTGGGGTTAAATCTCTTGGTTTTGCCTCCTGCCCCTCCC